CCATTTCAGTGAGGGGAGTGTTAAAGTCCCCTACTATTATTGTATAACTGTTGATGTGTTTCTTTGATTTTGTTATTAATTGGTTTATATAGTTGGCTGCTCCCATGTTAGGGGCATAGATATTTTAAATTGTTAAATCTTTTTGGACAGATCCTTTAAGTATGCTATAGTGTCCTTCCACATCTCTTATTATAGTCTTTGGCTTAAAATCTAATTTATCTGATAAGGATTTCCACCTCAGCTTTCTTTTGTCCATTAGCATGGTAAATTGTTTTCCACCCCCTTACTTTAAAACTGGAGGTGTCTTTGGGTCGAAAATGAGTTTCTTATAGACAGCATATTGATGAGTCCTGTTTTTTAATCCATTCTGATACCCTGTGACTTTTTTTTTTTAGTTTTTAATTTTTTAATAACATATAATGTATTATTAGCCCCAGGAGTACAGGTCTGTGAATTGCCAGGTTTACACACTTCACAGCACTCACCATAGCACATACCCTCCCCAATATCCATAACCCAACCACCCCCCCACTCCCCTCCCCTCAGCAACCCTAAGTTTGTTTTATGCAATTAAGAGTCTCTTATGGTTATCTCCCTCCCAATCCCATCTTGTTTCATTTTTTCCTTCCCTATTCCCAAAACGCCCCCACATTTCCTCTCAAATTCCTCACATCACCCTGTATCTTTTGATTGGGGCATTTACTCCATTTACATTCAGGGTAACTTTTGAAAGATATGAACTTAGTGCCATTGTATTGCCTGTAAGGTGACTGTTACTGTATAATGTCTCTGTTCTTTTCTGTTCTACTACTTTTAGGCTCTCTCTTTGCTTAGAGGACCCCTTTCAATATTTCCTGTAGGGCTGGTTTGGTGTTTGTAAATTTGTTTAATTTTTGTTTGTCCTGGAAGCTTTTTATCGCTCCTTCTATTTTCAATGATAGCCTAGCTGAATATAGTATTTTTTGCTGAATATTTTTTCATTTAGTGCTCTGAATATATCATGCCAATTCTTTCTGGCCTGCCAGATCTCTGTGGATAAGTCTGTTGCCAATTTAATTTTTCTACCATTGTATGTTATAGACTTCTTATCCTGAGCTGCTTTCAGGATTTTCTCTTTGTCACTAAGAATTGTAAGTTTTACTATTAGATGATGGGGTGTGGACCTATTTTTATTGATTTTGAGGGGGGTTCTCTGTGCCTCCTGGATTTTGATACTTGTTCCATTTGCCATATTAGGGAAATTCTCTACTATAATTGGCTCCAATATACCTTCTGCCCCTCTCTCTCTTTCTTCTTTTTCTGGAGTCCCAATTATTCTAATATTGTTTCATCTTATGGTATCACTTATCTCTTGAATTCTCCCCTCATGGTCCAGTAGTTGTTTGTCTCTCTTTTGCTCAGCTTCTTGATTCTCTGTCATTTGGTCTTCT